ATATATAGATATATATATATATAGATATATATATATATATAGATATATATATAGATATATATAGATAGATATATAGATATATATATATATAGATATATAGATAGATATATATAGATATAGATATATATATAGATAGAGATAGAGATAGATGGATAGATATGGATAGATAGTATAAGTCATATCAGTCCAAATATGTCTAATAAAGTGGGAAAAATCCATAAATACGTCACGTCGCCATATATTTCGCATCTATTTTGCGTCAACGCTGCCTCAACGCGTTTGTTACACATCACCGCTGACAACCTGGAAATGTGGGCCGCTGTGCCAAAAATCGATTGGCTGGCAAATGGCGGGAGCGTGCACGGGAGGACTTTTAACAAGATTAACACTTAAAAACAATTTGTTTGCTCGACTTTATAGCAAAGGTGTGTCTCAGTTGAACTTTTATTTAATAAATGCACCTCTATGGTCAAATCAGCTGCATTTCACCAGGACGGCGCAGAGAAATAGCTGATTTGACGGTTGCTCCAGGCATGATCCAAGAGCTGGACAAAGGTGGAAGTCTGTGGCAAGCTGATTGTGTCATTAATCACCAATTTGACCTATTACATGACACAACGGCATGCCGTGCCATCTAGTGGCTGAAAATGGTAGTGTTCAATATTTTCTGTCTGAATGCATGAAAACTGTGACATCTCTGACAAAAATTGGTTTATAAATATAGGAAAAAACATATAAATAAGTCACTTCGGCGTATAAGTCACAGGGTATGCAAAAAGGTGCGACTTATAGACCAGAAAATATGGTAAACTTTTAAAAAACTAGACTTTATGGCAGGTTTAGTATTGGTAATATTTATGTATATAAAGCTGGTTTGATGCATTCATAGAAACGGGTGTTCCAGGACACAGTTACTCAGAAACGTTGCTTCTGCCTATCAACCGAAAGCATCCTGCAGCCATAAAGCGCTGTGTTAAAAGGCAATCTGTGTGTGAACCGGTCATAATCCCAGCACCTCTATTTAAACTAGAGGTTTTAATAGTCCCAGATGATGACCAGCCACCCATGCGGCTCTTATAAAGCCTACTTCCTGAATCCCAAGCAATTGTAGAATACTTTACCCGCCAGACTTTACGTGCTTGTGTGTTAACATTTGTAATTAAAACTAAAATCAAACAAAATGATCAGTTTAAACTGCCAGTTTCCATTCTACGACATGAGAGGCTCACATGTTTGTGCAATACACAAGAAAAAAATCATGTTTGACAAATATATTCTTTTTTTACAGCAGCACACTGTATCTGCATTATTTTAAAAAAAGTTATACATAACGGCTCGCACTACGATCTGAGTTCAGTCAACATTTCTGATCAGCATTACAGGTGAGCATGTAAATGTTTTGCAAGTGTAAAAGACTTTAAGCTTTCAAAACCTATTAATTTATTACCGTATTTTCCGGCATATAAGCCACTCCGGAGTATAAGTTGCATCAGTCAAAAAAAGCATCATGAAGAGGAAAAAACTAGTCGCTTCGACATATAAGTCGCGTTTATTTCATGGTCAAAACGGCATCATTTGCCTGGGCGGCGCAGTGCCATCCATCCATCCATCCATCCATCGTGGCTGGAGCTGCTAGCTCTCCAGCGTTCCTCCACCTGCACCAGCTGAGTGAAGCGAGCGTGCACGGGAGGACTCGCTGTTGCAGTTCTTCGAAATTTAAAGCATCAATCAAAAATTGCATTATGAATGTGAAAAAAGTATATAAGTTGTTTCAGCGTACAAGTTGAAGGACTGACAAATCTACACAAAAAAAAAAAAGTGGCTTATAAGCTGGAAAATACGGTAGTTTTTTTCTGTCTATTACACAAATAACCTTATTCAGTGTAAAAAAAAGTCTTTTTTTTTTGCAGAAAATATAGAAAACAAAGTTTATAATAATAATAGTTATAATATAGTAGTATATAGTTATAGAGTAATAATAGTTATTATAGTTCATAATGAAATAAAGGGAAATGTTCCAAAAGAGCAAATTAGATCTACGTGTTCTTGTTTGTGTCCTTCTCCATGTGAAGGTGGTTATCACATGATCTTTACAGCGCAGCGGTCGTGGCAATTCTTATCTGTTTTCAACCTGCCCGTGTTACATGTTGCATACTGTAATAACTCTGAACTGGTGCTACTGAAATACAAAACCACGTGATTTGGGGGAATGGGCAACAAAACCATGTTAACCACTGATAAGGGCTCCCCTTTGGGGTCAGTGCACCCTAGTAGCTCTCACTGTACTCAGTTTATTTCCAAAGCGCTGAAGGAAAGTTGGACGTACCTGTGGTTCTGTTTCCGTCTGGTATGTGCATTTATCCAGGCTCACCGCTGCAGTCGGACATTGATCAGCGCCTCTGGCCTAAAGAACACGGAGCGTTGGGACAATGCAAGGCGCTCGACAACATTGAAACAGAAGACTGGAGAGCCGAGCTGCCTATATTTCATGAAGCGGTGCATTGGATGGCGCCATCATAGTCCCGTCATTAGATCGATTTACTAAACAAACTCAAAGCAGGGTGTGGATGTTAAACAGTAACCCAGCTCCATAAAAAAAGAGAAGAGAAAGATCACCAGGTGTGTGTGTGTGTGTGTGTGTGTGAGGGGGGTGTATGTGTGGATGTTAGGTGAGGTCTCTGACAAGCTGGATAAAGAAGGTGGAGATCCACGATGTTTAAGGTGATGTTTAACAAGATGTGGAGGAAGTAGCTGTTGTATGAAACTAAACAGCTTTAGTCCCACTTGGACAATACAAAGATAAATATGGTATGCATTTGTGTGTGTGTGTGTATTTATATAATATTTTAATAGAGTTTCTGGGAGAAAAATGAGTTTGTACTTCCAGTTACCGTTGGCCTGACGTTGCAAAGTCAAACCAATGATGTGTGGAGCAAACAAAAACCAGCAGGTGGCGGGAGTTCATCACTTCAGAGTCCAGCTCAAATGCAGTTTTCAAAAAGTTTATTTTTTTATTTTTTTAGAAAAGAAATAATTGCAGCATGTGACCAAATAACGGTAGAAACTAGCAACATAAACGGAATCTGATTACAGACGAGGGTGTTTTTATTTGCATTGGCTATGAAGCCGAGCAAAAATACCACTCATTACAAAATAATAATAATAATTTTTAAAAGTCACATGGTCAAAAATATAAATAGAACAGTGTTATAACCAATGCAGCACAACAAGTAGTTCAGGGGAGTGCGTTGGACTTTTTTGTTTGTGTTTAATGAGATTGTCTTTTTTCAAGTAAGGAAAGGTTATGAACAATTAATATCTTACCTGTTGAGGATAGCTCTCTTGCCAGCTTCAGTTTGACGAAACTGTTAAATTCTGAATAGACTAACAAACTGATTGATGGATGAGCTGCACAACCGACATAGAACTTTTGTTTAAAATAAATTATTTAAAATTATTTTGCACCTTTGTGCAGCCCTTATGGAGGATAAGCTTCCTGCTGCAGCTGATCAGATGTTCACCGTGCAGAGAGTAGAAGTGGGCGTGGCCAAGAGCGCTTGCAGGTGGCAAAGAGCAGAGGAGGCAGGGAGCTGAAATCATGACGTGCTGTGCTCTTTTAGAACATTTAAAGGTTAGAAACATTGTTTAGAATATTACAAGAGTGTGGGATGGGTTTAAAATGCCTTTATATGTATATAAACTACTACTTATTACTTGTACTACTATTCCTACTTTGCATTTTTTCTCTTATCACGGGGCTTCAAGGTACAGAAGATCCCCCGTGATAAACGAGGGACTACTGTAAATATAAACTACCACCATTAATTTCACATTCTAGATGTAATATTATGATATTCCTGCCAAGTCTGCCCATACTGCACCAGAACTGCTACAGCTAGCTGCTACTGCCACTTTTTGCACTACCTAAGCAGGTAAGATTGTAACTGTTCATCACTTCCACATCACCCCACTTCAAATGATCCAAACTCTATATTCAGTTAAATGCAAAGCAACAAAAACACAGTAAACGGTGAAAACACAAAGTGATCTTTGCAGCTGCTCATGTGCAGCGATGCACATTTGTGTGAAGTTCACATAGACTTATTGCTCAGCTGCCATTTCCTGGGAAGCACATGTTGCAGGTTCTCCTGCCCAAGAAGGTGAGCATGTCCAAACAGGAAAATGTGGTCAGACTCAGAAAAACCTCGTTGATGTTCTCTAAATCAGGGCGTTCGATGTAGTACAGTCGAAAAATGTGGTAGGGAACGTAGCAGACTACCATGACCAGGGCAAACAGGAGGCTCTTCAGTTGGGCCCCAAAGTCCTGCTGAGAGGTGCATTTCCGTTGATACTTCCTGTATAAATTCCAGATGACGTTGGCTTGCAGGGCTGTCAGCACCACCGCCACTACTATAATGAATGTGCTCACGAAATAGTTCAGCTCTTTGACATACTTTATGTTGTCTCCAAAGTTAAAGCAACGCGTGGTAGGATGGTCCGTGTCATTCCCCATGCCGTAGTTAAAATAGATGATGCATGGCGTTGCAATTAGTACGACGAGCCAAATGAAACCAATGGCAATGAGTGCGTGCATCCTACTGAAAGAAGCCACTCGCGCAGCTTTGCAATAGTGTGGCAAAAGGCGGGTGACGAGGATGATTACGTACAGCGTAAAAGACATGTACATGTGCACGTGGATCATGGCACTCACAACTTTACACCACATTGAGCCCATGCTCCACGTGTCCGTGACGTAATAGTAGATTCTGAAGGGTGCCGTGAGGAGGAAGACGAAGTGGGCAAAGATCAGGTTGAGCACAGCGCAGGAGGTGGAGGAAGCTGTGCCGTGTCTCATGATGTGCACCATCAGGCTCAGGCTAACGGTGCCGCACAGCAGCACCACAGAATGGATGACCAGGAGTGTCGTGTGGTACTCTTTATGCTCAACGTAGCTCGAGACTGTCGTGACACTCGATTGTGTGTTGATCTCGGTAGAAGACATCCTAGAATCAGCATGAAAGAAAAGGGAAGGGGGGGTGGGGGGGGGGTAAGTACATCATAAACTTGACACTTTATCTGAGGGAAGCAGTATCTTACTTGTATTATTTGAATTTAAAAAACTTTTAAACAGTTACATTTTCTTACTGTGTACCTCAAATAAGTTCCACTATGAGGGAAAAACACTCAAGTCTGTACTTTTTCCATCATAAACTTGTGTAACGCTCAAATATATTTTTCTGTTTATATATACAGTACGTATACATTTCTGTGTTCCTGCATCAGAGGACATGTTCTGCACTTCTGTATTTTCCGTTCTGCACTTCTGTATTTTCCTTTCCATCACTCTTCCACGTTCGTGTCGTTGCAATTCATTCACGGTCCGCTGCCATTTTACACACCTGTTTTGTCTTCACTCCTCAGTGAGATCATGTAGCACAGATCAAAGTCATTAGTAAACATAATTTTTGCATATTCTAGCCTCAGAACCCCTGCATTAACACTGTATGTACACCCTTCTTTTTCCCATTCAACCTTTTATTTAGACAGGTTAATCCCACTGAGCCTTGGAGAAGTCCAGGTTGAGAGCTTCAGATCTTTTTACAAGATATTCCAGGAAACAGGAGCGGAGTAGGAGAAGGCCCTTTTGTCTAGTTCAGTCCTCACTGAGGGAACACTGCAGGTAATGATGTCCTGAGAGCGCACGCTGTAGCTGCACTCACGCAGAGACATGTAGGAGGAGATGTATGAAGACAGCAGACCAAGAAGTGATTTAACGATGAAAATGTACCAGTGGGAGTCTGTGAAGTTAATGGTGACCAGTTAACCAGTGAATACTGGATGCAGTGGTGGGTACGATAATCACAGTCAGTTATGAATCTTAGTGCACCATGATAGACAGCATCCAACATCTGCAGCATCCAACATCTGCAGGGTTCTTGTAGGAGCGTTCATGTAAATGTCACTGTAGTCCCGGGGTGTCAAACCCACTTACAAAAGGGGGCCAAAATTAAAAACTTTTTCAAACTAAGGGCCGGTTTCAGAATCTACATCAACTCAAATTAGATGCCAACATCTTTTCTTGGTTGCAGGTTCCTCAAGAGTTTGATTGGTCTCATTCGATCTTCTCTGTTGCACTTTTAATATCATAATCAAAGATTACTGGAAAAAAAATTAAGTGATAAAAGTATTTTACATTTAAAATAACATCTTGGGGGCCAAATAAGATGTCAACAAGGGCCACATTTGGCCCCCGGGCCTTGAGTTTGACACATGTGCCGTAGTCAATGGAGGGAAGGAAAGTAGCAGCTACAAGGTGTTTCCTAGCATTCAGAGTTAGACGGGATCCATTTCTGAAAAAGAAAGCCAGTTTAACTTTCAGTTTCCTTACTAAGTTTTCTGCATGACGCTTAAAGGAAAGATGCGAATCGACCAAAATACTCAAATATTTGTAGAAATCGGCAAACTCAATAGGGACAACATTTGAGCATAAAATCAGAGGAAGAACTGCTGGGACTGACTTCCTGTTTGGAAAAAGCATCCCTTTGGTTTTGTCTGTGTTTAGTAACAAATCAGACTGGATGATGACCCTACTAGTTACTTGAATGCATCAGCCTGGCCAGTAAAGCTGTTACCCTGAGCTAGCCAGTTTTGATTGACAGCACAGTGGTTTGTTTTGGACACCCTGGTTTGACCTACTGGTTGAATGTCTATATTATTTATTACTTAAATAAAGCACATATAATTATTTATTAAGTACACCTGTTTGATTGCTTGTGAACACGAAAAGCTTATCAGCCAATCACGTGCCAGCACTTCACTGCATGTCTTGAGATCATGAGAGGGACTTAAGGGACTTTGAACAGGGCAGTTGGTCTGCAGATCAGCGCTTTCTAAAATATTTGGACTCTTTCTGGCACCAACCACCAAAACACACTCAAAGTAATTTACAGCCTCTTTTCCCTGTTTCTGAGGTCTGGTTTGAACTCGAGCAAGGCACCATAGATAAACTGATTAGTTAACATGCAAATGAACAGGTGTACCTAATAAAGCAGCCAGTAAGTGTTTACAGTGAACAGTTTAGCCCCTGCAGTGATTTTTTTCTGTTCTACATGAAGCCTTGATACAGCTATCTAAACAAAACCATCTCATTTCAAAACTGAAAGTTCTAGTATTAACAGTACAGCCTTGTTCTTACAGCGGCGTCCTTTTAAGATCCTTCATGTTCTTTCTTGCACAGAGTTAAAATGTACAGCAGATCTTTATATTTTAGTGATGTTTTCAAAGTACTTTTGATGGAAAAAGAAAATTATATTGTTGTAAAAATGCACCAATTACATTTGAAAACTTTTTTTTTTTTTTTTTTATCAACAGGTAATTGCAGGCAGGCATGCTCTTCCAGTCAACTTGCACTTACTGACAAAGTCTTGAACAAGCCACGTTCTAGTTAGCACAGCATAAAATATTCAGACTTCAGCTTATCCTAAATTTAATTTTGATTTGGCTTAATCTCTTATTATTCAGTTAAAAGACGAGTTACAAAAGTATACCACTGACTGGCAAATATTTTAAATGCAAAAGATTAAGATGAGTACAGAAGCTTTCAAAACACGAGAGTTTACGGAGAGACTTACCTTTTCCTCATAAATCTACCGACTGACTGAACCAAACAGGAAAAGAAGTGCCCGTCCTCTTTTTATCACAAAATCAATTGTGATAGTACAAAAAACAACTTTTGGACTGTTCAAACAGTTACTTATCTTGTGGTTAAATGTTAATTAAAAAAAAAAAGAATGCTTACAGAGTTTTTTCTTTAGTCCTTGCACCTTTGCATATTGTTTGTTTGAGCTCTGTTAGAAACAGGAGGTGACTTCATGTCTGACTAACCACAGAGCTGGTAGCTTCCCCCTTCTGACCAAACATCCATAAACACGTTATCCTTTTAAAAGCAGTGAAAACATTTACATTCTACACACTGTACCTTATCAAGTGTATCACATGTTCATCTCGTAGAAATATTCATCTTGCAGTGACATCAACAACGTTGTAAATAATTTTATGATGTACAGTCATACATAACATCACTATATATATATATATATATATATATATATAT